CTGAAAACCAAACCCAGAGTCTTACTGTAAGAGTGGCTGAAGTACAAAACCGGCTCAATTGCAAACCTCAAGAGTTGTCTGAAGTTAAAGTAAGGGCATTGATTGGGAAGAGATGGGATCCTGAGACTTTGGATGGGGACATATGGGCAGATAATCAGGAAGCTGGGGAGACTGAGCCTGTAAATACCATTGAATCACTCCTGCCAGCAGAACCAGTCCCATCTGAAAAGATTACTTCATGTTTGTCTGCTAAACCACCCTGCCCAGAAAAACCATTAGCCCCTCCACTCCCATCTGAGGAGATTAGCCCTAGCCCAGCTGCCTCTAAAGAGCACTTACCTGAGTCATTGCCTGGAGCATCGCCTGAGGCAGATGCTTTACAAGATAATGCTGAACGTTCTGAAAACAATTCCACACTATTGATTCTGGCTTCTAGACAAATAACTAAACTTAAGTCCCAGCAAGCCCCAAAAGGTGAAGTTGCAAGTGTGACCCAGGAGGAGGTACGCTACACTCCAAAAGAACTACTTGTGTTTTCTAATATGTACAAACAGAAACCTGGGGAATATGTGTGGGAATGGCTATTAAGGGTGTGGGATAATGGTGCAAGGAAAATAAAGATGGATCAGTCTGAGTTTATTGATATGGGTCCACTGAGCACAGACTGTTCCTTCAATGTTTCAGCTACAGAATTTAGGAAAGGATCTAATTATTTATTTGGTTGGGTTGCTGAAGCAGGGATTATGAGGTAGCCGACAGGAAATCAAGTTGAAGTACCAGAACTGCCTTGGTGTACTGTAGAAGAAGGTATCCAAAGGCTTAGGGAAATTGGCATACTAGAGTGGATTTATCAAGTTAGACCCACAGACCCACACATGGAGTGTCCAGAGGACACACCTTTTACGACAACTGTGAGGAACAAATTTGTGAAGGGAACTCCAGCATCCCTGAAGGCTGCTGTAATTGCTATATTATGTAAGCCAGATTTGACAGTGGGAACTGCCCCAACTGAATTAAGACACCTAACTTCAATGGGGCTGATTGGACCTTATGGTAGTAGGGGCCAAGTGGCTGCACTCAGTTGACAAAGACAAGGTAGGTGTGGTTACGGTAATGGACAGAGGAGTCAAAGCAGTAATCAGAATAGTCTGACTCGTATGGACTTATGGTGTTGGTTACTTAGTCACGGTGTCCCTAGAAGTGAAATAGATAGGAAATCTACTAAATATTTACTTGATCTATACAAACGGATGAATTCTAGGTCAGGTGAACAGCAGTCTAACTCGAATCACCAAAATAGAGAGTCACGGTTCCTCAATCAATTCCCAGATTTGAGCGAGTTTAAAGACCCACACCCCCCTGAATGAATGGGAGGCCTGATCCCCTTGAGGTTGGACTCCAATACACTGCCAAAAATTTTTACTGTTAATCTTTCTCCCACCCTTCCCCAAAGGGATCTATACCCTTTTATGTGAGTGACTGTTCAGTGGGAAAAGGAAATAATCAGACTCTTTGGGGATTACTGCATACTGGCTCTGAGCTGACACTAATTCCAGGAGACACAAAACGTCACTGTGGCCCACCAGTCAGAGTGGGGGCTTATGGAGGTCAGGTTATTAATGGAGTCTTGGCTCATGTCCGTCTCACAGTAGTTCCAGTGGGTCCCTGAACCCAACCTGTAGTGATTTCTCCAGTTCAAGAAGGCATAATTGGAATCGATATACTCAGCAACTGGCAGAACTCCCACATTGGATCCTTGACAAATAGAGTAAGGGCTATTATGGTAGGAAAAGCCAAGTGGAAGCCATTAGAACTGCCCCTACCTAGGAAAATAGTAAACCAAAAGCAATACTGCATTCCTGGAGGGATTGCAGAGATTACTGCCACTATCAAGGACTTGAAGGATGCAGGGGTGGTGATTCCAACCACATCCCCATTCAACTCACCTATTTGTCCTGTGCAAAAAACAGACGGATCTTGGAGAATGACAGCACATTATCGAAAACTTAACCAAGCGGTGACTCCAATTGCAGCCGCTGTTCCAGATGTAATTTCACTGCTTGAGCAAATTAATACATCTGCTCGTACCTGGTATGCAGCTATTGATCTGGCTAATGCCTTTTTCTCCATACCTGTTTCAAGGGATCACCAGAAGCAGTTTGCCTTCAGCTGGCAAAGCCAGCACTAGTCCTTCACTTACCTACATCAGGGCTACATTAAATCTCCATCCCTATGTCATAATTTAGTCCAGAGGGACCTTGATCGCCTTTCCTATCCAGAAGACATCACTCTGGTCCATTACATCGATGACATTATGATGACTGGACCTAGGAAGGATGAAGTGTCAATGACTCTGGATTTACTGGTAAAACATTTGCGTGCTAGAGGGTGGGAGTTTAATCCCACAAAAATTCAAACACCTTCCACTTCAGTGAAATTTCTACGGTTCCAGTGGTGTGGGGCATGTCAAGATGTTCCTTCTAAAGTGAAGGATAAGTTATTGCATCTTGCTGTTCCTCCAACTAAAAAGGAGGCACAGTGCCTGGTGGGGTTCTTTGGATTTTGGAGGCAACATATTCCTCATTTGGGTGTGCTACTCCAGCCTATTTATAAAGTGACTCGAAAAGCTGCTAGTTTTGAGTGGGGAACAGAACAAGAGAAGGCTCTGCAACAGGTTCAGGCTGCTGTGCAAGCTGCTCTGCCACTTGGACCATATGAGTCAGCTGATCCAATGGTGCTTGAAGTGTTAGTGGCAGATAGAGATGCTGTTTGGAGTCTTTGGCAGGCCCCTATTGGTGAATCACAGCTTAGACCCTTAGGATTTTGGGGCAAAGCTCTGCCATCCTCTGCAGATGACTACTCTCCTTTCGAGAAACAACTTTTGGCTTATTACTGGGCCTTAGTAGAGACTGAACACTTAACCATGGGACACCAAGTCACCATGAGGCCTGAGCTGGCCATCATGAACTGGGTGTTGTCTGACCCACAGAACCATAAAGTTGGATGTGCACTGCAGCACTCCATCATTAAATGGAAGTGGTATATTCGAGATC